AGGTGGTTACTGGTTTGAACACCTGTTATGAGGAGATTGTTTGCTCTATACCTACCTGCAGTCCTGCAAGTACTCCAGCTTTCCTCCACAATCCAAACACATGCTCGTTTGGTAAACTGGTGAGTCTAAATTGAACGTGCATGTGAGACAGATTTCCTTTAATCGCTCACTGGAACAATGAGGTAAAAGATAAACGAGGAATCACTCAAGTAAAATCATAAATGCTTTTAAAAAGTCAAATCTAAAACCTTTACATTGCTCTAGCCTGTGGGAGGATCAGAGGCTCTGCAAAATGTGACATTTGACCCCTGTGTCTCCTTCTGTCTTAAATGTTTCATTCATGGTCTTAAGTCCCAGGAAACAGAATAAAAAAATCACTCTAACACGCTGCCTGTACAGTGTACGTTTGCAGAACAACTGGACACCAACTGGACATGTTTGTGGACACCGAACATTATTCAGTGTGATGGGCTGTTTCAGAGTCAGCGTTCCAGTGCAGCAGTGATGCAAGGTGTTGACTGATCGAGCACAACAGCTCAGTAACTTTTGAAATCAAAGCTTATCTCATCATGTGATTGTGTGACAGGATTTAGAGAGACGTGCTCACACGAAGAGCCGCACTGAATCTGTTCTTGTTCTTTACAGTTTGTCTCAGAGAGATTAAAGAGCTCATTTTACCCTCCAGGCCGTCACCCCCAAGTTTATGTCAGTCACATGATTTTTCACTGCTCACCTCACATTTAACAGATTTGACTTGTCCATTGGTTCTACAGTTACATTCATATTAAATAAAATAATTTACTACCACACACAGAGACAGTTTTGGTAGTTTGGGGCCTTTACCTCCTAAGACCCGAACTCTTCCACACCATGCATTTTTAATGTCTCTTTGATTTTTGGGCATATTGGGGCCCGATGAATGCAAAAACAAAGAATTACCAGATTTTTTATTAGATTAATGTCCTCGTAAGTGGATATCAGGCCCTTGTAGAGCAAAATCGAGTATTTTGGTCTAATTAACCCAAAATGTGATGTCAACATATGTGGACGCCAGGTCCTAGGAGGTTAAAAGTGCCACACAGTCACAACCACAGTGATACTGCTTTAAATAATCCAATAATTAAAAACAAAGAACTGTCCATATCTTCACTCCTCAAAGGTTGTAAGATGACTCCACCTTTTTTTTCCTCTGCATGAACTGAAATCAGGTGATTGTAGCTCACGCTGCACAGGAGACAAAGGCATGTTTGGTGGTTTGTAATGGAAAACATTATTGCAGTGTGATCACTGAGTTTAGCATTTTAATACTGCATTACAGACCAATACAAGTAAACACAACACATCACATTCAACAACATCAGTAGCTGCTGTCTAGAATGTTAACTCCAGTTATTATCTATGCTTGGACAATTGGACAATTGAAACTATCAGCAACACCGACTCGACAAAATCACGAGTCGGTGTTGCTGATAGTTTCAATTGTCCATTTGTGTGGGTTTCTTTGCTGCCCTGCTTTGGTTGAGCTGCCATGTTGTTACAGTCCATCACTGCAACACACACATACACAATGATGAGGATGAATGAAAGGACTTTTCCACAAAATAAACAAAGCCTTTACCCGCTGCTGTCATGAGATGATGTTGTTTACTTTGATAACATTCCTCCACAGACAACGTGCAAACAGCTCAGTTTCTCAAACTAATCGATTCGATCACACTGTTTTGACCTGTTGGAGCTTTTGATAAGACAAGCTTCTCATTAGTGATGGCCAGCTTGAAGCTGACGCTCCGGTCAAAAAACGTCACATGATCAGTGACGACT